ATAGATAATGCAGAAGAAACAGTTGCCCATTATAAGTGTCAACTTGGCCCAGTCTGGTCAGTGGCAACTGGCCAAGGATGGGATTGGCTCTGGGTACTGGAAAAGCCCCAGTTATCAAACTGTCCCTAAGCAGCTTGACATTAAACTGGGGAACGGCACCAGGAGACACTAGGCAACATAACATCTACACCAGGCGGTAATACAATGAGACTGTCCCTTTAAAATGGCTTCTGTTCTCTTGTTACGTGCGTAGATCAGATCTATACAAAATCTGCCACCCTGAATATATCTGTGGCTAGACAAACCCCGTTTGGAAATTCCAACAAATACTGGGGTTTATTCCAAACTTGAGACCAATTTTTCCCCAAAAAACTATTTCGGTAAAAATCAACCAGTTTCTAATTCACCATAATTCACTGTTTAATGAGAAAGAAAATATCATTGCCACCCCTACAAGTCATTAAATGAACACTAGGGGAGGGGGAATGAGGTTGCAGGAACTAGGGCACTCCTAGAACCATAACCACTACAGTGCACTGCGGTGGTCATGGTACTTGGAATATTCCTTAACAATGCTGTGCCGTAGCGCTGGTATCCAACACTACACATTGCTCCTGCAAGCAGCTATTATTAGGATCTTAAACTAGGGGTCAGATAGACAGCTCCCTTCCTGTTTGCTCATTCCCATGCAGAGATGGTGTTTGTGTGAGAGACATGACACAGACCATGGATTTATTAGACAAAAGACATTTTTATGGTCACTGCAATGAAAACATAGGAAATTACCATACAGGTTTACAATGGTGTCAGATATAATGGGAAAGTGTATTAAGATACAAAATATAGAAATATGGATCCCAACTTTCATTATTATTTGTTTCAGCACCAACATACTCCGCAGCGCAGTACAATGGATTTTTTTTCCAAATGCAAATAAATTATAAACAAAAGTTGGGGAGGGACCCCAACTACTTGGAACTTGTTTATAAGATGTTTATATAAGCCTGGTTTAGCATCATTCCACAGAATATTTCTCCAACCTTTGTCAGTCTCTTTACAATTAACTATTTCCTTCTCATTTCACTTGCCTTAAACCTGTTTGATGTATCAGTGTCCGTCACCTCCTTCTAATCCCTTAAATGTATTATTTCTCCTCACACTTGTAATTTCAAGGTTATTCCCTCAACTCCAAAAAATATAGGCACAAATAGCTGTGGCTAGCAATGAGTTCATTTTTTCCAAATCAGCTTTTTTTCTTTAACCAGATTTTGCCAACCAGTTTTTAATGTGCAATAATTTAAGATCACCCACATGTATAAATATAAAATTTCACTCCAGGATGCAGGGGTTGTCAGTCTGGGACACAGGCTTACCCATACCTCCCAACATTTTAAATGGACAAAGATTGACACTTTCATTTTTAGGGGTGTGAGTGGTCGTGTCACCAGGTGGCGGGCTGTTCTGATGAAATTCAGGTTACTTATTAATAACTGTTTATATAACTAAAATGTAATTTAGAACAAGAGCAATGTATCTTATTTACACAGACTGATTTCTAAACACATTTATTGTAATTTAACCCCTTAAGGACGGAGGCAATTGTTCAAAATACTATATGTCTGTTCAACCCTAATTCACTTCTTTCATATTAAGTGCACCCACACTTATTATATATTATTTCACATCAAATATTTTTATATGAAACATAATTTAATATAAATAAACTCTAAAAAAGTGTGAGAAATTAAAAAAAGTTAGTTTTTTACACTGAACAAAACTCAAAGATCTAAGACTTTTTCTACGTACACAAAAGGCCTATTTTTCTCAAATATTGTTCACAAATCTGTCTAAATCTGTGTTAGTGAGCACTTCTCCTTTGCTGAGATAATCCATCCACCTCACAGGTGTGGCATATCAAGATGCTGATTAGACAGCATGATTATTGCACAGGTGTGCCTTAGGCTGGCCACAATAAAAGGCCACTCTAAAATTTGCAGTTTTATCACACAGCACAATGCCACAGATGTCGCAAGTTTTGAGGGAGCGTGCAATTGGCATGCCGACTACAGGAATGTCCACCAGAGCTGTTGCCTGTGAATTGAATGTTCATTCTCTACCATAAGCCGTCTCCACAGGCGTTTCAGAGAATTTGGCAGTACATCCAACCAGCCTCACAACCGCATACCACATGTAACCATACCAGCCCAGGACCTCCACATCCAGCATCTTCACCTCCAAGATCATCTGAGACCAGTGACCCGGACAGCTGCTGCAACAATCGGTTTGCATAACCAAATAATTTCTGCACAAACTGTCAGAAACCATCTCAGGGAAGCTCATCTGCATGCTCATCATCCTCATCAGGGTCTCCACCTGACTGCAGTTCGTCGTCATAACCGACTTGAGTGGGCAAATGCTCACATTCGATGGTGTCTGGCACTTTGGAGAGGTGTTCTATTCATGGATGAATCCTGATGAGGTCAACGTTGTTGATTGAGTGGCCCATGGTGGTGGTGGGGTTATGGTATGGGCGGGTGTATGTTATGGACAACGAACACAGGTGCATTTTATTGATGGCATTTTGAATGCACAGAGATACTGTGACAAGATCCTGAGGCCCATTGTTGTGCCATTCATCCACGACCATCACCTCATGTTGCAGCATGATAATGCACGGCCCCATGTTGCAAGGATCTGTACACAATTCCTGGAAGCTGAAAACAATCCAGTTCTTCCATGGCCAGCATACTCACCGGACATGCCACCCATTGAGCATGTTTGGGATGCTCTGGATGAGCGTATTTGACAGTGTGTTCCAGGTCCAGTCAATATCCAGCAACTTCGCACAGCCATTGAAGAGGAGTGGACCAACATTCCACAGGCCGCAATCAACAACCTGATCAACTCTATGCGAAGGAGATGTGTTGTACTGCATGAGGTAAATGGTGGTCACACCTGATACTGACTGTTTTTTTTGACCCTCCCAGATCCCCCCCAATACTGTAAAACTGCACATTTTAGAGTGGCCTTTTATTGTGGCCAGCCTAAGGCACACCTGTACAATAATCATGCTGTCTAATCAGCATCGTGATATGCCACACCTGTGAGGTGGATGGATTATCTCAGCAAAGGAGAAGTTCTCACTAACACAGATTTAGACAGATTTGTGAACAATATTTGAGAGAAATAGGCCTTTTGTGTACATAGAAAAAGTCTTAGATCTTTGAGTTCAGCTCATGAAAAATGGGGACAAAAACAAAAGTGTTGAGTTTATAATTTTGTTCAGTTTAGTTCTGCGTGGCATTTTAACTGTGAATGTCATAATACTGTTAGCTTTCACTGCAATAAAATACACATATTTGTGTTCAGCAATGTCTCATGAGTACCCCCAGTACAGGTTTTATGGGGTTTTGGAAAATAACAGGGTCAAATATAGCACGTTCAATTTTCCAGTTTATACACATTGAAATTTAACAAACTGGCTATGTTACCTTTTAGACCATATTGTAGCCCAGGAATAAGAAATAACCCCATCATGGCATACCATTTGCAAAAGTAGACAACCCAAGGTATTGCAAATGGGCTATGTCCATTCTTATTTAGTAGCCATTTAGTCACAAACACCAGCCAAAGTTAGTGTTTATATTTGTTTGTGTGTGAAAAATGCAAAAGACAAATATAAACACTAACTTTGGCCGGTGTTTGTGACTAAGTATAGATCTATATAGATACTATAGTGAAATTCTAGGCCCTCCCCCTGCAGGCACTTCACAAGCCGGCTATTCTGGCCATGTGATCGCGAGGACCCCGCGATCACATGGCCCGACTTTAGGGTCCTGTCTCGGCTGTCAGGCAGTGCGCAGGATTGCGACTGCTGGTGGGGACAAGGTAAGTAAATAGGACAGTAGGGACATTATATGCCGCCCTGCTGGCGTTTAGGATTGGCCCCTTAAAGATGACATAAAACGCCCACTGTCCTTAACGGGTGAAAGACACATTACTGGGAGTACTATTGCTATGGAGCTCTGTTGTACACTCAAACACACCAACAATATGGAGCTCCTAGAAAAGAGGGACATAGGGTTTTGTGCCCTAAATAGGGAATGTCCCTCCTAGATAAGGACAAGTAGGGGTGTTTGAGGTTACCTGTGCCAGAACCGAGTTACTAGTTTGTCTATCAACAAGTGCCTATGCTCAAGAAAGCTTGCTCCCCCACGCGTTCCACAACTTTCTCTGAACCATTTATGTATGACATTTTTGGTGGTTTTATTTTTGCCTGCGAGGTAGGCTGAAATGGAAATGTCTCTTAACCTTGTTTTCAAGAAAGAAATGTCTCTGGACTATCAGAAATCATATTATTCTGAGATGTGTTGGTCCCAGAACACTAGCACCCTGTTTAGGACTAAATTGTCCAACAATGCAACTAGTTGCTAAATGCATGCTTGATACAATCGGGGAAGGTTTTTTGAATGTAAGGGTGTCAGTGGCATTGAACAGGTTAAAGAGACAAACAAGAAAGAAAGATAACTAATGGTACAGAAAGAGAAAAGAGTAAAAAAGAATTAAAAATGCTTCAGGGAATCTGATACAGGAAGCTCAATGTTTAGGCCACTTTTGGCACTAAGTAAAGAAAATTCTGGGAGACAGCCAGGAAACTGGAAAAAAAGCATGATTTATTGCACAAATGTTTAAATGAAACAGAGCATTATATATTACGTTATTTGTTGCGAGTTTACATATGGTAAACATACATGTGGAAACTTTGCAACCACTGTATGATTCCTACAGGATTGGAAAATAAGACGCAATTTGCCCAGATAATCGTATATAAGAGGCGGAGATAATACTGTACGGAGTTTGGCATCTTTAGTTCCATAATAAGGGAAACTTTTCTCGTACTTCAGAACCCTGGGAGGAATAATATGACAGTGATGCACAGGGCACAATTGTTTATATGTTTTCAAACCAGTACCAGAATTATTGCACTCTTATAAATTTTCCACTCATGTTTAGAAGAGCTTTTTACACAAGCTCTGTGAATATATCAATACTATTATTGATAAAACGCCAACAGATTCAGTAACACTGTACAATAGGTGGACTAACAGACAAATATTTGCAACAAGACGAGTTGGACGCACAGGAACAGAGGGCATTGAGAGTCCTGCTCAAACGAGCTTACATTCTAGAGGGAGTGGGGAAAAGTGACACAAGAGGTAAGGGTAAGATGTATTTCATGTAAGAGAAGAAGCAGGGTGTGTAACCAAGGAGCAGGGAGGGAAAGCTATTAAAAGTTTAATTGATATGCTTTCTTAGGGAAGTGAGTTTTTAATGAGCTTTTGAAGGAACCTAGACTGGGTGAGAGTCTAACGGAGTAGGGGAGGGAGTTCCATTGGACCGGCGCAGCCCTAGAGAAGTCTTGAAGGCAGCATCAGAGGTGCGAGTACAAACAGGTAATAGACGCAGGTCTACGGCACAGCTTAGGGCCCTTGACGGCATATACTTGTGTATCAGTGAGGATAGAGGTAGGAGATGCGTTTTGTCAATATGGGCATGTTCAGTATCTTATACAGTATGTAATACTTACCTGTAACTGTATGTCATTCAACTGGACCTTGATGTTGCATTCACCAAAAGAAAAAACAAAACAAATGATCATATAGACGTTTTCAATGCATTAAAATACACCAAAATATAGAATCGAGTGTGCCAACCAGATCCTATAACCAGCTCTATGTGTATCACTGTATAGGAAACTCACAGTGGATTTAGGACAATCTTATTGGCGGAGATAGGGGCAATAATTTTGAATAAAGTAATGATTGTCACTGTTATTATGACTCCAGATATTCAGGTGTCCACTCATGGCCCTTGGACTAGGCTACTGAACTAGAAAGTGGAGGGTTCTGCATTTTGAAGCTCCTGGTTACTACGTTACTAGTACCTATGGTAGTGAGAGACAAGAACATGATCGTATGTTCTTTTGTGCATCATGTGATCAGTTTGGATCCCGTTTGCTTTTAATATAAAGAAAAGATGAACAAAACTCTGGCGCTCATAATTTTACCCACCCACGACATCACGGGTATGATACTTTGCCCATCCTGCATTTTGACAGACACGTCAAAGTGACAGCCAAGGCAGATGGAGGGTTAACAGATAAAGGTTCGGGGTTTATTACATTACTTTAACCAACTTTTTGCACCAGGCATACAGTGCAATGACTGTTCGTTAACCTTTCGGGTTAAACGTGTGGTTTTGCAGGTTCGATAGTATAGCAAGTCCTTTATATTTATACAGTGCTTTCTGTGTTCGCGATCCAATGTGCTTTGCTATAGGTAGTGTTTCTGTGGACTCTCCTGGGTTTAAACGTTCCAGAGCACGGTTTCTGTTTAATATCCATTTTGCGTGTACAAAGCCCACTCTATGGCGGAATCACTTCTCTTTAATGAGGCATTCAGCCATGTGCGAGCGAGAGAGACAGAGTGCGAGAGATCAATGACATCAGCATCCTTGCCTTTACCAACTCTCTCAGTCTTCCACCCCCTTCTCCTATTGCTTGAGGATCAGCCTCCCCCCTGTCTGCTGCTAAATGGACAGAAAAACAGGAGCTTTGTGCTGTGAAGCGCCTATCCTATTTTTTTTTTTTTGGCTTTCTTTTTAGCAGATTACATCACCCTGACTAATGTTAGCTGGAATCTGGCTCATTATAGCCTTCGTTCCCTCCCTGCCTGTGATTGTCTTTACACAGTGGCACAAAACAAATGACCCCGCCCCCCCACCCTTTTTTTTTTTAAATCCCTTTACTGGAAACCAGCTTTTCTGTAAAAAAATAAAAAATAAAAAGTATATATCTATATAATTCTAGCTAGAATAATCAAGTTGTGACTATAACAACTTTGCAGAATGGCTCTTTCTGCTTACATTTTGCCATTCACTTTTGCAGTTCACTACAATTTGGTGTTTAGTGAATAAGCCCCAGTGGTTGCAGACGTTAATGCATTAAAGGACCACTATAGTGCCAGGAAAACATACTCGTTTTCCTGGCACTATAGTGCCCTGAGGGTGCCCCCACCCTCAGGGACCCCCTCCCGCCCGGCTCAGGAAGGGGGAAAAGGGTAAAAACTTACCTTTTTCCAGCGCTGGACGGGGAGCTCTCCTCCTCCTCCTCCGATCCTCCTCTCTCCGTCGGCTGAATGCGCACGCGCGGCAAGAGCTGCGCGCGCATTCAGCCGGTCGCATAGGAAAGCATTTACAATGCTTTCCTATGGACGCTTGCGTGCTCTCACTGTGAAAATCACAGTGAGAAGCACGCAAGCGCCTCTAGTGGCTGTCAATGAGACAGTCACTAGAGGCTTAGGGGGAAGGCTTAACCCATTCATAAACATAGCAGTTTCTCTGAAACTGCTATGTTTATAAAAAAATGGGTTAACCCTAGAAGGACCTGGCACCCAGACCACTTCATTAGGCTGAAGTGGTCTGGGTGCCTAGAGTGGTCCTTTAAAGAGAACTAACATAAAGTGCTTGATTTTGTATTAGTATATTGGATTTAAATAGAATCTTAGACCAGTGATGGAGATATTTCCATGATGCTCAGCCAGTTCTAAGGTACGTTACTCGGCTTAAAATCACTGCTGCCGTTGTTTAAGCCATTTCTTAGAAAGTCGTGTGTAATTTATTTACTAAACTCAAAATTTTGGGGAATTTAAGACCAACTTGCAGAATGTAGACAACACTAGTTATTCAGGAAGAATTCTCACAGGGTTATTCAATAAAGTGAAAATTCCACGTTAGCTGCAAAATTAAGGCCAGAGTAGTCAATCTAGAGGCTGGATTCAGAGGCGGCTCGCTAATTAGGTGATTTAGGCCGCCTGAACTGTCGGGTCCTTGGTCCATGACCAAGGGTCTGACAGTGAGAGGGGGCCCGGCGGCCTGCCCAGTATGCCACCGGGTGAGAGGCCCCTCCACATGGTCTGCCCATAGAGAGCCAAGCTTTAGATCTGCAGCACTGTTTTTCAGTGTGGGGGGCAAGGTATGTGGGGGTCAGTATGGGGGAGTAGGCTCAGGTCCCCACACTGCCCCCACATACCCTGCTCCCCCACACTGACCCCCACATACCCTCGCTCTTCCACACTCACCCTGTCACATTAATGCCTCTAATCCTGTCACATTTTCTTCCCCTCAACCTGTCACCCTCCCTCCCTCAACCATGTCACACTCACTGCCCAACCCTGTCTTATTAATCCCCTCACCCAGACACAGTTACCCCTTTGCGCACCCTGTCACACCCTGAAAACATTCATTATACACACAATCACGGTCACAGGTATCCCCCCCCCCAAACACACAACACAGCAGTCAGCTAGCCCATACACATACAGTTCCATAAATAAACATGCACATGCACATAGAGACACACAATCACAAACATCCTTGTGTAAAGGATTACAGAATGTGTGGGGGAAATGTCTATGTGAGTTTTCATATCTGTATTTTTATTATTTTGTGGGTGATTTCTTTTTAAAAGCTTTTTTTTTTTTCTTCAAAATTTCAATTTCTGTTTGCAATAACCACTGCACACAGGCACTTCTGTATACATGACTGCCAGGCTATGCAACCATACACGGCAATCGTGTAAACAATCAGCATCGCTGCAAATTAATAGTTTGCAAATTATGCCATAACTACGGTCAGAGAGCTCACAACAGAGCGGCACTGGGAGCCGCGGCAATGCAAGCCTCTGAACAATGAACCCAGCGCTGCAAGCCCCACACGGTGCAACCCCTTTATATTTTTTTACTATGAGCTTTAGTGGGGGCCTCATGTTTGAGTTTGACCTAAGGCCTCACAAAATCTAGAGCCGCCACTGGCTGGATTTACCCTGCAGTATAAACATTGCAGTTTCTCTAAAACTGCTTTTTTCAGCTGCAGGGTTAAAACTAGTGGGACCTGGCACCCAGACCACTTCATTGAGCTGAAGTGGCCTGCGTGCCTGTAGTGGTTCTTTAATGCTTCATTTTTTGTTATTTTTAAATAAACTTGGTAGTGAAGGAGTTAAAAAGCAATTAACTGAGATAATTTACAAATCTGCAACCAAAGTGAGTTCAAGAGTCAGACAGGGAGCTGCTCTGTACTTTCAGATGTTCAAGGTAACTTTACGCTTTAGCATAATTAATTATTTCATGAGAGAGTTTGGTTCAATCACTAAAGTGAAAATAATCAGGATTTTGAAATTCACTTAGAATTCCTGACAATTCTTTTGTTATGGAATACATTATGTTTACCATCCCTTGCAACGCACACTTCCTCACAGCTGAGCCCCGGAATGACTGCAGCGTAAAGTTGTATATAAATACTGTGATTTGCGGTTTCCTCTTATCATAGACAGAAACCGTCCACAAACAAGGCAGAGCGTTTTATTTAATTCTTGCACCGGTAGAAAGAAAGAACGCATCTGGGTGTGAACGTCACACAGATTTATTCACTAGAACGAGCAGCGTTGTGAATTCAAAGTGATTTTTAAATTTAAGACCGAAGTAACTGAACTGGAAAAAGTCTCCGTCAGCTATACTTTCATTTTGGCTACTTTGGCCGTAAATTTTGAAATTCTCTTCGGATTCCCAACAATGCTCGCTTTCGTAAATAGCCCTGTAAATGTTTGAAAGGAATTCTGTCTGTTTCCACGGTGATTGCTCTTTAACGCTTTGCCCCCCAGGATAAAAACTCTTTTACGATAATAAATCTCCCCCAATTTAGTTTATACACTAAGCTGAGAATTATAGATCATTTAACAAGTATTGTCAAATGTCAGGCCAATATAGCCAAACCGGAGAAATTCTCCAGATCTGTTTTTCCAGCTCGGCTACTTTGACCTATAATTCAGCTGGTGTGTTCTCCCAGTTTAGTGAATAAATCCCCCATCTGTGAAATGGATATTGTGGGGATTTGCAGCACTGAGGGGGCGTCCATTCATGGGATTGTCAGACTTGGCACAGAGTGCTTTCAGCGCGGAATGCATGGTCAGCTGTGCAGCAAGCGTAGCTTTGCTCTATCGAGGAGCTGAGTCACTCGGAACGCAGAGGAAACCGAGACAAAGGGTCATTTGCTTCCATTCAGGCTGATTTCCCGTAATTACAGGTGGCATAGGAGGCATCACAGATCCATTGTGTGAAAGAGATCTACATAATGCTTGCATGGAGTCTTGGACCAAATGCACAGGGATATTATTCACTACAAATTATTT